TATAGAATTGTGGAAAAAGTACTCAATGGTAGTATATAAGTATCCCACGTGAAACCGAATTCTTTCGTTGAATTTATTATTAAACACAGATCATTCGTATTGAGTGCCATGTGAGTCCCATGTTGATTTAGGTTTACCGTGCGGGTACCGTAATTTATGTCATAATATATTTTTAAAAAAGATTGTAGGTAATACACTTTTGTGTAAATAATTCAAAAATCTTAAAAATAGAAAAATCCAATTAATATTTCTACGGTTTGTGTTAAAACATTGTTTAATATAAGAATAAAGTTCAAAAAATGTTTTCCAAAATGTGTATAAAATGTTATGAAAAACATGGCAACAATAAAAAGTATATTGAGTAGGTAGGCTAAGTGGTTTGGCTTACCCAAAGCCAACAGAATATTTTATTTTATAATATCTGCTGCAAGAAAGTTGGCAAAGATTAATTTCAACGTGGTTTTTGACATCTTAATTTTTCAGTCATACCAAATAAAAACAAAATTCTCTTGTACCCCGTTCACCAAATGAAAGAATAAATTTATGAAAGAAAAGTGCACCTACGGTGTACAATAGAATTTACCCATTAGCAAGCACGGAAAATGGTTCTGGACGGGTTTTAACCAAACCTCATTGGTATATGCATGTAGAAACCTATAATCATGCGATTCCTACCTTAACTATCGCAAGTGGACAAAAACAGTTTACGTTGATTTCAACACACATCGTTTGCATTACAAAAAGGGTCGAATCGCAATAGCATAGAAATAACATTATAAGCATCAGAAAACACTTCATTTACATTAACGTTATTTTTTTTTTACAGTTAGCGAACTACATTTCAATTTCGTTTTAATCAACGGGTTTATTACGAAGTAGATACATTACAGTAATTTTAAATACTATCCGATATGTAAAATGTTTACTGAAACACTAAAGTAACTTATATTAAAACTCTAAATACCTACATTAATAGATAAATAAAACTGCTTATTAGAAAACATTTGATAGTAAAATTAAATGTTAATCATTAAAAACTAAATTCATTTTTATCAACTTAAGTAATAAAAAGAAATCTAACTAAATGTTAGTATTATTAATTAAAAACAAATTAGCAATTCACTGCTTTAGTCAGTAGTTGACGTTTGCAGTTCATTACAAATTTTGAATACAATATTAAAAGAAGTAGAAATGATTACATTTGTTTTTAAAGTTGTTTTTCTTAAGATTATAGTGTTTTAATTAATTTCTGTGTACTTAGAATATTACTAAATCTTCTTAATAAAACAATGAGTAATAATTCAATTATGTTCAAGTTAAAAATAATTTTAAGTAATTTACACCATGCGTGCGAAAGTTTAAAATTTTCATTTTTAATGAAATTTGTTTTAAATATTTTCTTATCTTATTTTTATAAAATGATTTCGTTTAATAGTGAATCAACTGTTTTATAAAACTAAATTTAATAAAGTCTTTGGTAATTTCCCATAAAGGTCCGTAGGCCGTAGCGAGAAACAAATTCCATCTTTACTTGACTGTTTTATTCTGTAAGCCAATTCAATCCAAAGTCAAATTTACACCCCTTCGGAATGTGTGTATATAAATAAATACATTAAAAAGGGATACTAGCAGACCTTGAAAAGACAGTAGTAATTGAATGTCGACCGCATCATTCATCATAACCCTCTTTGACACGTTTTAGGCCAGACAGATTTTTTGCTGACCGATGTCACTACGTACTGCAGTTTTGGTTACACTATTATGTTAATAACGTTTTATTTTAAATGCGTTGACATTTGACCGGCGTCGACTTGTTATGTATAAAAGGTTACAGCGCGTACATTACATTTGTGTTGCTAGTACGTTCGAGTGTTATGCTCAACAGTCCATTTAAACGTCTGAAAACACAATAAAATATATACGGTTTGACGTGATCCTAAGAGATTCGCTTGCGCTTTTCCCGAGAGACGGTTCTGCTGCAGTCTGTGCGTAAATGAACATTTCTTTTTTGTATTACACGCTAGATAGGGGAGCCGAGTATTCTGGCGGTGCCGTTTTTTCGTTGTTGTTGATGATTCCAAGGTAGACGATCGCAAGAGACGCAAATGACTTCTAAACGAGTCGTTTCCCCTTGGGGGTGCCACTGCAAGATGAGCTGTTCCTTCAAGAAAAACCCTTCTATAAACTATTTTTGCAAAAAGTATTCACGCTTGTTTTTCCCAGGTTCGTTTGAGAAGAGAGAAAATGAAAAACAATTTTAAAGATCATGTCTAAAGTGTGTTGCACCGTGATGTTCGGGTGTAAAGCCTGCGCCAACGCGGTGAGTGATGGATGGATGCCATCAGTTCGACTAGCTCATCCGTGGTGCGGATCGTCAGTTCGACTTATACCGGCATTATCACATGTTAAACTTGCGGCCAAATAGGGTGCAAAATCACGTTTCCCGACAAAAAATTGCTTTATTTTAAGTAAAACTTTTGATTTAAAAACCGTATTATAGTCTAGCATCACGTCTCGCCTCCCTAAGGTACGCCGTCAACCGATAAAATCTGGATAGATTGACAGGAAGTAATAGAAAAAAATTACTATAAATTATCAAAAATAGACCACTATGATGCGCGACAGTTTTATATTATTGTTAAATTATATACTTCTATATACAAGTTTTTACACTGTATACATCAACGATGATTGTTTAGTTTTATGAAAACTTGAAATCTATAGATAGCCAAAGAACAAATATTATATACTTCTTATTAGACGTATAATGTACATATATTACAATATGTTATATACTATATAGTATATAAATGTTAGGTGGTTTTTTATACCCAAATGTCAGTGCAGTATTATTGTTGTAAGCAAAACAAAGCCGTTAAATTTACATTTTCATCCGAGTCTTATTAATGTTTCTTTTTTCAGAAAATCCAATATGTATAATACGAGTGCGTGTTATAGCGCTCTTTAGCTTCGAACCCTACGGGATGACTTTTCTTTATGGAAAAACTTTTTCATCGTACACGTATTACGACTTAACGTTGTCTTTTTATTTTTCCGGTCTATAATTCGCATGCATACCCGCCTTTTAAAATAGAACCAGCGCTTGTGCAAATAACGCAGACGAACGTATAATAATGTATATATGAACGATACACATATTATTAGTCGACATCCGCGCTATTTGGGATGTGCGTAGAAAACGCCGACGGAGGCCCTTTTTTGAAAATCGAATTTAAATTCAATTCTAAGAGCGGAGCAAACCTGGAATTTTATAGTTTACATTATATATATATATATATTTATACAACGCTATATTCTCCCCTCATCTACCGGCGCGACGCGGTAATTCTATTTGCAAAGTCAACCTTCCTGTTTCTCTCTCTACTATTCAATCGTTTGTAACGAAAATCGAGATCCTTGAATCCTTCCATTTCATTATGTCAAGTGCGTCTAATTTTTTTAGATTTGACAATATTGTAGTGGGCTCACATTTTCATTGCTGTCGTCGCTTGGTAATTTGATGGATATACCGAGTCGGTGTACATACAGATACATAGGAGTTGATCTTACGGTGTATTTTCACCCCAGAAACCCATCATTTCTATACTATTTGTTCTCCACGCCCACATACACACACACATCTAATCTAATCTAATATTATATATTAATTTTGGAAATATTATCGTTCGTACGTGTCTGGCGTACGCGATTCTTGTTAATTTCCACCGACTCTAAGCCTCGACCGTCACGTGATCAGTCCCACGGGGACCACAGCATTGTATGTCCATCGGGCATCGACAATCCAGGCACGCACTTACACTCATCAACACTGCAGCCTTCCTCGCGACAAATTGTCGTTAGCGGCCATTCGATTATGTCATTATAAAAGACCGTGTTTTTATTTCATTATCATCGCCTTGTTACGTATATATATATATAAATACAGTACAACTGGGCTACTATCTAATGTATGTGTTTTGAAAACACCGCTTCTTTATTTCATAAAAAGGTGTATAGGTTACCACGGTTACTACATAAGATGGACTTGTGTGTTAAAAAGTCTTTTTTTTTTTTACGTAGCAAATAAAATCCAATAAAGAATAAATGTTAGAAAATAAACTATAGGATCAAGGATAAGTAGTTTAAATCGAAATGATCGAAGTTTGATTAAGTCATTTACCAATAACATTTATTAACGATTGAACATTTCATAAGTAAATTTAAATTAGGTACATGTGTTTGTTAAATCACAAGTCAGAGCTAATTATGTAGTATATATGTCACCCGATAAATAAAGTTTTGGGTTTTTTTTTTATTGTTCTAGCAACCATAATAAATATGCAATGCCTGAATGTCGAATGAACCTAATCAAATACGGAGATAATATAAATTAATTTCTTGTCGTAATCAATAAACCTTCACCGCTCTGCATCGAAGCTAAAAATAAAAAGTTGAATATTATATAGCCAATTTCCGGGTGTTATACTAGTAATATATTTAAATATATAAATATTTTTTTAGTGGTTTAACCATATTTTGAGTACGAAAAAAAATGGTTGGTGATATTACATAATATCGGTGCGACCGTACTCAATTAACGTGGCTTCGTCATCTGACTGATCCATTAATGGGTTACTCAGATTGTCTTCGTGTATCGAAGATACGCCGTCGATGTAATCGGGAATTGGCGGCACGTAATCCCTCTGACCCACCCTTACCACGTTGACCCTTTCTAAGTCGTCCGAATCGTTTTCGTAGTCGAGTTCATCCATCGAGTCGGTCGTAGATAGTCTTTTAGGCGACGACTTAATAACCGACAAATGGGATTTCTTTTTTGAATTTAACAACCGCCGATGTTCTCTCCAACACCTCTGCAAGAAAACTTTACCGTCAAACGCTAAATCCTAACCAATCGAAATCCAGTTTACTTGAATAAGGGTCACCGCTCTGTTTGCCGCCTTGAGAGGCACTCCTAAATCTTCGAGTAGTTTCAACGTTTCCTCAGGGGTCATTTGTGACTTCCACGCTTTATCTGGGAAGAAAATAAATATATATTTTATACGCAAGCCACATTGAAACGAATCCTTCTATTCCCATTCTAACATATCCCTGGCTAAACGCGTTAAAGGCCGAAGGTAGTTATTTGGTGATGAAGACAAACCTATTTAATTGATTGACAGACTTAGGTATTCATAACCGACTTATCGTTTTAAACAAAAAATTGTCGTTGCTACAACCCGTGACCAGACCATATCGTTACCTACTTTTAAATATTACTCATTTTATGATAATTTACCTAATTCCTTAGCTTTTTTGTCGGCCAATCTAAATTTATGAGATTTCCATCCTCTCTGTAATAATATAGAATTTTAAAAACGAAACTAAATACTGATTTATTGAAATATTATAAATGCTTAATTGTTATTGAATGGTAAGACCTGAACGACAGCAGCAAGTTTGTTTAACTCATCCACGGTGTACATCGTCTTAAGCGTGTCCAAGTACTTTTCTTCATCGGTTTTGGCAAGACGCACCATCATTTCCATCAATCCGTCTAGTAAAATATATAATATCCATTCCAGTATAGTAGTAACTAATAATATAGTTGTGGTGTGCGTAAATATGACTTTAAGTTTACAGTTTTTAATTTATTGAAATAAAAATATTAAACCTTAACGACTAAGTATAACTTGAAGGGTATTATGTAAAACATTAACATCATTATGAATATAGTTATTAACATACGTGTATGTTGTTCTCAATATCGTTTTTATCATCAGTAAATAAAATGTTATAAATGAGATGACTCATTAAGTCCTCGATAGTCAACGACTATTAAAGTACCCAAAGTCATTATTTTTAAATAAAATTTCATGTAAAATGTCAAATAAATTGGCGATTTGTAAACCTTTGCCGTTCTCCTCTTTCAACAAACACTCCAAGTAATCAGCTATGTAAGAGTACACTTGGTCTTCGGCGGGCGTGTCGCGCAATACCTAAACGTAAATTCATTAAAATATGCTTTATCGAGTCATAAGTTCATAGCGGCGTGAGGACGAGTGCTATCAAATCGCATTTACTTCTCTGGTGACGTTCATCATTAACACCGGCAATCCCGTGGGCACTTTGACGGTTACCATGTCGCCAATTAGCGGCGGATACATTTTGTCATCCATTTGCCTATGTACAGTTTATAATAACTGTTTTACAAAACACGTTCGTCCGTTTACGAATAATTGCTGTAGACGCACCCGCGGCGTAACCCTGGAAATTTGACTGTGTCGAAGAATAATTATTATACTAAACAGGTGAACGTTATAGCAACAATAAATAAAATATGCAAAACGAGCAGCACCGCTAATAACGCGTTCGAATACAAATAATTATAGAACCCGCGCGTACAGTACACCATTAGCGGTGTTACGCAAATTCTACATTGAAATGACAATGTTATTAGAGAGAGAGAGAGAGAGAGAGAGAGAGAAGGAGAAGAGAGATTGAGTGATCGGTGTATGCGAGGAAGAGAGTGGTTGGCAAAGACGAAAACGAGCGCTAATTGCGTCGATTATCAAAACTGTCGTTGAAAACGTAATTTAACATTTCGAATGCAAATGACGTTGCGCTTGTCATTCGAGGAGGGTGGGTAAACAAACAAGCTTATATTTATATTTTAGAGAAAATATATATATTTATATATATATATGTATGTTTGTGTGTATTTGTGTATATAAACTAAACGCAGTCACGCCGAGCACATTAACCGCAAAAGCACGTCTCCGGGTGCCTCGTCATCGCGTCACATTTGATTTAGTGCGGTTGTTGCTACTCAAAGGAAATCTATTTCAAAGGGCTATAAAGACATTGCACTGTCGCGTCGTCGTCCTATGACAAAACGGTATACGGATATGCTTATATTATGGTCTAAGATCGTGTACTTTTAAATTTCGGATGATAAACGCGAAAATAATAAACATCGTGCTCGGGAAAATTATGAAAGTAAAATAAAAAATACTGTTTTTCTCTTTTTTGTAGCTTAAATTTGCCACTTCTTGTTGAAAAACTGTAACACGACGATCGTATTATTATAGTATTGTATGCTTAATAAGAATTCCGTTGAATCAAAGATTGCGAAAAAACTCTATAAATATTCATCGTCCGTCGTATTATTATTCTCTTTTTGTGATTTGCTTCTTTTTTGTCTTTATACAGTTTTTATTTCGTCGCTGACGTTGCGGTACTTAGACGGACCATTGCGACTCGTTCCCCGAGGAATGGCACTGCGTAAAGTAAAAAAATCTTTGGTAGAATAAAAATAAAAAAAGGAGCAAAATGTAATAATAAAAAAAAATATAGAGACCGTAATTGGGACGGAATTGTGTGCGGAGCCAATCTTTGTCGACGGACGAACCGTGACAAGTTCGTGGCAAAGCGTATAAGTGCCGCTGGTTAAGGCAGAGTTGTATACATGTATACACCTCGATGGCATCATGCGCCCCGTTTAAATAATAAAAGCTTTTTAATCCGTAAAAAATAAATATACGGGTGGCGGTAGCCCATTAAGATCAAAAAAAGAATCTGGGATTATAAAATATGCAGGTTGACAGCCCACAAAACGCACTCGCCCCTTGTTCCAAAGTCTTATTTTTTTCCGCCACAGGACTTAACACGAACTCCTACAAACTTTAACGCGATGCGGGAGTACACTAAAATATATAATTCTTATCGGATTTCCTTTCTCCTGAAAAAAAAATCAGATATCGTTAATTAGCCGTATTAATTATTATGAGGTTAGTATTTTATTTTATTTTAAAGTTAAAATAACAAAAAGCGTACCGTCTCGACGTTTTTTTGCGCTCTATTGTTTCTTGCTTATCTCGGTTGACACATCACTCGCCCCACCATTAAATAGTCCATTTCATTTAAATTTATACTTTTTAAAGTACAAAAGTTTGGAGGAAAATTACATTTCGATCTGATTAAGAAATAATAATAAATTTTTCTATAAACAGCAACCATATTACAACTTTGTATAGCCATAAAAAAATTATTTTATGGTACATATATATATACGTACCTTATATACATATATTACGAATAAAATACTAAGCTAAGTAGATAATTTAATAGTTTATTTAAAAAGACATCTGTCCACTTATGTAAACAAGTCTAACTACACAAGGAAACCCATTTAACGTAAGACACATTTTCTCTCTACTTTATCTTGTACTGTAAAACAAGTTTTTTTTTCTTAACTTTATTTTTTAAAACAAACAATCTGTATACCGCGCCTTAATTTGAAAGTCAAATGTGAAGATTTCTAATGATTCATTTTTATTTTCCATATATTGCATCAGGATGACATGAGGTCTAAGTGATTTTGTAGGTTATAACTAGCAGATATTGGGTTTTCGTGTGAGGAATAGATTATTTAGTCGTCAGCGAAATCCGCAATAGAAGTGTGACGGGTCGTCGGTTGATCTGCCGAGTATAGATTAAACAGAATAGGAGAGGAAATGGCACTTTGGGGGACTCCTGCTGCTATTGGGGCTAAAGTCAAGATTTCGGGCCCTACTTTTATTATAAAGTAACGGTCTTCGAAGTACGATTTAAAGAATAAGTAGTTAGGAGGGGGTATGATTTTCTTCAGTTTTTATAGGAGGCCAGGATGCCAAACTTTGTCGAACGCTTGGGCTACGTTAAGAAGAACGGCTGAGCAATATTCTTTTTCTTCCAGTTATTTAACTATTGAGTCCGTTAGCCGGTGTATTTGGTGAATAGTTGAGTGGCCCTTACGAAAACCAAACTGGATTTGTGGGATGATTGGTACATCGTTTATGAAGGGGAAGATACGTTTTAAGACCAATTTTTCTCAACGTTTCGCGAAGAGAGGCAGAAGACTTATTGGACGATAGGAAGAGGGGATGCGGGTTGTTTCCCTAGTTTTAAGATTAAGATTATAACTGAGGTTTTCTATTATAGGGGAAAATAAGAAAGTCTTAATATAGAATTTAATATATGGGTAAGGTGAATAATTGCCCTTTTTTGATAGCTGTCGAGCTTCTTCTGCCGTGATTAGGTCCAGCCCAGGAGATTTTTTGAGAGGAAATAGTTTTAAATAATATTGAAGTTCATCAGGCGTAAATGGTTTAGGGGCTAGGTAGAGTGGGAGAGGGGATATTAGAGAGTTTTCAACATACTCTTCATAATTATTGTTGTTGTCATGATGCGGTTGGAAAACTTTGATCAAGTGGGCACGAAAAAGTTCCGACTTTCTTCCTCAGTTTTGCAGGAAGTACTATCATCTTTTTTAATTGTTAAATTCATTGGCTTTTGTTTTAGGCAATTTCGAGTTGCCCTCCATAGAGAACCATTTTTGACGTAAGTGAGGAAACCCAAGAATTAAAAGTACAACAAGTTAACACAATTACATTCAATTTTTTTTTTATTGTCAACATTTTTTAAAAATAAATACTAACAAATAATACCGTTAACAATTTTAATGGTAAAACAAATGTTGTAATTTCTAAGACTTAACTATAGGTTCTCATACAATGGTACATCTGTCAAAAATAACTGACATTACTGAGTCGATGGATTCGTGAGTGATCTTATGTGTAACCAATTACCAAATAGTATAAAATATGTATCTTATTCTAAAAGCTTAATTCAAAGATAAACAAGACTTGCCTACTCTCGGCTGACACTTTGAAATTGACGGATTAGGGAAGTTGTGCACACAGTATCGCTAAAATGCCGTAGAGTGACTCTATCATTATTATCCTGTCCTTTATTGCGTTATCATGACACGGGGAGATAAAAAATTCAAAGCACATTTGACATCTGATGCTCGCATAACATTTGATGGAGTGGCGACTTCGGTTATTAGTAAACTGTAAATGTAATGAATAATAACAATACAATAGTTTGCAAATCAGTTCAACGGGATCCAGCCTTTGTAACGGAACGGATACAGTTAATTGTATACGGTTAATTGAACGGTGGCCAAAATAAACATTAAATGAAAAACCAAGCATCTGCGAGCCCGCACAACCCACAACGCGTTGTAGGCGGTCGGTCTGTGATATTTTTAAGTTCACTGAAAAATATATAATGTAATATTTATCGTCGAAATTTGCACGCAATAATCTGTCTTCCGTTTTTCGGCTGCTCCAGACGCTTATGATGTTATAACAGTAAGACGACAATGCGATACGTCTAGACACACAACTTGGTTGGCCGAAATGTAGCTGGAAATAAACAGCCTTCCAGCGGATATGAATTACTGTCATTTGACAATCGACTTAGTCATAAACGAAATCGTATGTACCCACCCTATGTTAAACATTTTCATGTGCATGTGCTAAATTTAGACCCGCCCATGTTTTATAGATGCAATACTAATAAATATTAAATAAACTTGAGCAGTAACGTGGAAACGCATTTTTTAAATTACCGTTAGACTGGTATTTAT